GGTGTCAGAATTCTGTTTCCAAGTGGTACTGAACACCTCAGATCTGAAACCTTAGCAATGAAGCAAACGGTGTTCCAGTAATATAACTAATAATCAGGACCGGCTCCAGGGTTTTGGCCGCCACAAGCGGCGGGAAAAAAAAAAAAAAAAGCCGCGATCGTAATTGCGATCGGTGGCACTCCGGGAGCAGCTCCACTGCGCCGCTTTCTTCTTCAGCGGGAATTCGGTGGCAGGTGCTTCCCTCCGAGAGGGACCCGACGCTGAATTGCCGCCAAACAGCCCGACGTACCGCCCCTTCCCTTGGCCACTCCAAGCACCTGCTTGCTGGGCTGGTGCCTGGAGCCGGCCCTGCTAATAATTAGCGTTTGACACCACCAGCGGGGTGGCTTGAGGAGACCACATATAACAGACAGCACCTGAATGACATAATCCTTGTCTGAATTTGGCTTTTTTATTAAATGTTTCACACCAGTTCTAACACGGGTGCTGTCACTCTATCACTGTGCTGTAGACATGCTCTGAGCTGAGTTAGGGGGAACAGTGGTTAAAACAACAGCAACTCCATAAAGCCTTGTCTCTCACAAACCCACCTACAGAGCCTGGCTCTTTAGCTCAAGTATAGAGGCACAGGCTTTCTGCTCTGGGGATGCCTGGTGTGTCAGCCAAGATACAGCCTCCTGAGTCCCATCCTCACGTCTTCTGGGGTTTAAATGAATGTAGAGGCCTGGCTATTGCTTCTCAAAGAACTGCCTTCCACGACCACAGCCGTAGCACATACAACAGTGCCTAATGGGGGGATGGGCTGTTGTCGCAAAATTGCACCTTGGAGGTAAGAAAAACTTGTGCACAAGCAAAACAGGAAGGCATTTCTAATTAAAGCCTTGGATCATTTTTCTGACTCAGACCTCGCTGAAACTGGCCTAGATAGACCCACGAGCAGAGCAGAGAGCAGTCTCTAGCTCCCTAATCAGTTTAGTTAATCCTTTAAAGTGATTTTCTTTGAGATGTGGATTTTCGAGGAATATGTGGAGAGGTTCTGTCAGGTGGCAGAGGTGGCTTTTCCTGTTCCTCTTTCCCTGCGTGTCCTGTGTGTGTGTGTGTGTGTGTGTGTGTGTGTGTGTGTGTGTGTGTGTGTGTGTGTGTGTATGTGTATGTGAGAGAGAGTGCCTGCATTGTCAGTGTTCCTCTTTCCCTGCCTGTCCTGTATGTGTGTGTGTGTATGTGTGTGTGTGTGTGTGTGTGTGAGTGAGTGAGAGTGTGTGAGAGGGAGAGCCTGCATTGTCAGTGTCGAATATGCACATCCGTGGAAGGCAGTTATGCCTGACGCTGCACTGCGCTGCTGCGCACCTTGTGTGTCATTCACACCAATGCAAAGTGGATGCACATTGCTGCCTGTCTGATCCAGGAGTGTTTTACACCCACTTTGCACTGGGGTAAATGACGGCACAAGGTGCAGGGCAGCAGACAGTCAGCCCTTGCCTAAGGCTTTGGGTTTCAAATGTCTCCGTTTTCAACCATTCCTCCCCCAACGCTCCACCCCGAAAAATGGAAAAAATTAGACAATAAAATGTACTTGTGGGGGAGGGGGCTCCTAAAAGAAGCTAAGCCAGAACTTGAGTTGCTCTAGTGACCCTACAGTAAATAAAACATTTGCCTCGCTGTCTTCTGTGCTACATTCCCTTGTAGCAAAGGAAAGAGGCCAGAGGCTCCCATTTCTGTTCTGGTTTTTGCCCTCTTGAGATTTCCTTGTCCATTTTTCTCCTATGTCCTGGCTGTAGGATTCTTTTTGGCAGCTCTCAGAATTAGATTTGATGTGGACTGAGATTTTCATAAGCAAATATGAGCCAAAATCCTAGTTACTCTTGGAATTCACCAGCAGGCAATACCCTGGCTTACAAAGCACTGCTCAGCCTCTAGCCAGGAGGACTCTTGTGGCACATAACACCATTTTCTGCCCTTCCTTAGTGTGAAAAGTAACAGCCTTCAACACCTACTTACTAATGTGAGTGGAGTTCCACTTAGGAAAAAGTTTGTCTTCACTGCACAGAACTGCACCCTCTCTCCTCCCGCCCTCTTTCAACTGCAGCCGAATGACTTCACTTCCTTAGGGAATGCAGACTCTTTACCCTGAGGGTGTTTTACAAAAAAGAGAAAAATCTGCTTCTGAATATTTAGGGCCTGATTATCTTCTCATTTGTACTGTTGTAAATCAGGAGCAACCCCAGTGAAGCCAGCAGAGTTATACTGGGATAAAAACTGGTGTAAGTGAGGCAAGACCCCAGGCCCTAAAACTGTTGTGAAGTCCAGTTCACCGGAAAAACTTCTTTTCTCCCCCTAGGCTGGGCACAGGTGATGGGGGAAGGGAGCATCACTGATTGATCCCATCAGCCCCATGAGCCAGTGGCTCAGGAGAACTATCAAAAGGAGCACAGAAGACTAGGGGTTTCCCTCACAGCTTGTGGTCTGTTTGGGGCAGCGACCATCATTTACCATGTGTTGTACAGCACCTAGCACAATGGTGCCCTGATGCGTCTGAGGCCTCCAGGCACGACTGCAATATAAACGATAGATAATAATACACATGGGTGTGGTTATAACACTTCCATGCTCCGAGTCCCACCATGCCCAGCTGCGCTGACCATGCCAGTGGGCAGCGTATTGGAAGGCAGAAGATGCATGGAAGACTTCTGATTTCTTTTCCCGAGAGATTAGACCAGGGGTTGGCAACCTTTCAGAAGTGGTGTGCCGAGTCTTCATTTATTCACTCTAATTTAAGGTTTCGCGGGCCAGTAATACATTTTAACGTTTTTAGAAGGTCTCTTTCTATAAGTCTTCTGTGCTCCTTTTGATAGTTCTCCTGAGCCACTGGCTCATGGGGCTGATGGGATCAAGGTCCGGTCAATTTCATAGCCAATGGTACTGACTGCCCTAACCAACAGATCAGGTACTCATTTTGCAGCTGGATGAGCTGGAGGTGGCTTTGATAGGAGTACGTGAATTTTTCTTTTGAAATGATATGTCTGTTGCAATTAATCCTTTCAGGTATTAGGAGAAGAGTATGCAATTGGGTAGGTGAATGACAGGCTGCGTATTTTAAGGTAAAAGGCTGGGGCTGCTCAGTTTGTCACTAGTAGAGCCTTGGAGTCTCCTATGTTAACACAGTTGTGTGTGTGTGTGTGTGTGCGTGCGTGTGCGTGTGTGAGAGAGAGAGAGTGTAATACAGTAAAGATTGCTAGGAGGTCCGTCTGTATTTTTCAGAGGTACGGAAAGTAAAAAGAAGACGTTTACTGAGGCCTCTTCTTCCTCCTGCAATATTGCTACTGCCAGCTGGGTGGGAAATTAAAACATTGTAAAGTAAATAAATATTGCAGTAGAAAATCCCATCCGGTTTAGAGGTCAGAGTGTAACCATATGTTGAAATCAGAGCTGAAATAACAAAGGCTCCATTATCTCTCACCCAGGAAATGTGCCACCAGTAAAAGTCAAGTTGTTGTTTTACTGCAGTCTGCACAAGTGAGAGTGAATAGCATGGGTATCTGGTGTTAATTAATTATTTTAAGCACAAATGGAACAGACAGACCAACAATAACCTAACTGGGAGGGTTCTTCTCATTCAGTCTCATCCTGACTATTAAACACAGATTAATATTTATAGCTTGTTTGTTGTTATGGAGGTCACAAAATAGCTAAAAATTCACAGAAACTAAAAATATCCAGGCAATTTGCCTGAGCTGCAATCTCTACAATGTAATCTCCCCCCTTGAGGACTGAGTTAATATAGTAGATAATGTTTTCACCCCTCTACTAAAGTCCCAACTAAACTACACAACTGCCATGGTTGTGGGGAAGAGGGGAGGAACTATGCTGAAAGATGTTAATTTCATGATAGGGTTAAAACATTGTTCAGTCTTGTCTGTGCAGACAGTGTTGAATTGTGATTGAGCTATGTTATCAGATAATACTACAGCCTGATTTGGCAGAAGGGTTCAAAAATGTTTAATTGACTGTTATGCATCCACATACCAGAGAGAGAGAGAGAGAGTATGTCTTGCTCTAATCTACCATACTGAGATTCCACACTGATATTAGTGATGTGCAGAACATGTCACTATGCCTCGTTTTCATACTTACAATGATAAAGACTCATCACTTTTTCTTTCTTTCTTTCTTTCTTTCTTTCTTTCTTTCTTTCTTTCCCTTTTAATTATGACTCTCTCTCCAGTATCAATCTTTGTCTAGGGGATAATTTCCGCCAGAACAATATCTTCTTGTAACTGAGTCCCTGGCCCCATGGAACTCTAAAGACGAAATTTAAAAACTTGAGTCCACAGAGGTTTATGAAAAACAGATATTTATTTCGATATGCAAATGACATTTGAACATGTAAATGCAGGAGATGGAGCACCTGGTTTGCACACACAAATGTTGGCTGTACATGCAAGTGTTTATTTCTGTGTGTGCAAACTCAGGGACTGGAATTATATTTTATTTTATTGGCACTAAGTAGTTATACCAAAGAAATCGGTGTTGAAAGCCAGGGTTGCCTGGTTGGTACAACGGGACAGAAGGAGATTCTAAATGTGAGCGATATTTTCAAAGTCTCACTGAAACTTTAAAAAAAAACCCACCATCATAACAGGAGTGTAAATCATTTAAAAGCTGCTTTAAAATGACTCCAACGCTGGGAGTTGTCAGGCCTGGACGTGTGTAAGTCCTGGGGGAGTCTGCTGGTGTGAGCCGTGCACACGCCGTGCCATGCACACAACTCAGCTCAGCACGGCTCTGGCTCCTCGTCCCGTGCAGACCTTTATGAATGAACTTTGGGAGTTTTTTTATGAATGGGAGCCCCAGCCTTGAATGAATCCCAGAGTGACGCGATCTGATTGGCCCTGGAAGCCGTAGCCGCTCCCCCTTCTGCTCTGGGTGAGAGCCAAGCAGAGCTGTGATTGGCGGGCGTGTCCCAGCCCGGGGCTTCATTCACAAAGTCAATGAAACAAAGAAGCAAGAAAGCCGAGCCTGGGAAGGAGGAAATGCACCAATGGGAGGCTCCCCCCGGGCACACAACTGTCTGAGCCGCCAGGAAAGCGAGCCCTTTCCGTGGGAGCGGGACTGGGGGAACAGGTGAGAGCCCGGGCCGGGGGAGCTGGGCAGGGGTGCAGGGGGGCAGTTTCCAATGGGGAGCGAGGCATCACCCCGCCTCTTCGCACAAGTTTTGCCAGATGCAGCGCGAATGACGCCTCGTTGCACATCACACCCAGCACTGCAGCCGGGGAGCAGGGAGGGGCGGTGGGGCCGCTGCTGGTAACCTGCCCCCAGGTCGTTTTAGGAAGGGGCTGAATCTTCGAGCCCCGCTCCTGCAGCTAGGACAAGCCCGTGGGGGTCGGGGATGGGGAGATGCCACGAGGCCCAGCCCGGGACGTGGTGGGCTAAAGCAGGTGCAGCCGAAACTCCAAGGGGCGCTCCCTGTTTGCTCCCCAGCCCTTGTGAAACAGGCTCCCTCTGCTCCTCTCCCCGCAGGTCGCTGCCCTGAGCTGGCTGCTCCATGCCCCCGAGGAGTTAACCCATGGACGGGAGGATGAAAGGGTACTTGGACCAGCAAGTGCCTTACACTTTCACACACGTGAGTAGAGCTAGAGCCCCAGGGCTGAGGCTGCAGGCAGCGCTCAGCCCCGGGGAGAGGTGGCCCAGGGCCCAGTCCTGACATGACTTTCCCAAGCTGGTTTGTCCTTTTCTTCAGAAACCGCCCGGAAATGGGACCCTGAGCAGCCGAGCTCTGATGGGCGCCAGGAGACCCATGGACCCAGGCTTAGCACCCCCTCAGGACTCGGAAGGTAAAGGCAGTAGCAGCACCCCAGGGGCAGTGGGGAGGGACAGGGCTCATGGGGGACAGTGGGAGGAGGTTGCGGGGGGGAGGGACAGGGCTCATGGGTAGGGACCAGACCCTCCCCTCCCTCTGCTTCACTCCCCCATTTCCCTGCAGTGTTTGTGTTTCTTTCCCATCCCGCATCACCAACCCTGGAGCATCCTGCTGTCAGTCCAGCCCAGGCCAGCCTTCAGTAAAGGCACTTTTCACTTTTCTTGCAGACCTCTTCCAGGATTTGAGCCAGTTTCAGGAGACTTGGCTGACAGAAGGTAGGCACCCATTCCTCTCTTTTTGTTTGTCTCTCATTTGTTTGTCTTTGGTGTTTGCTCTGTTCTTCCTTTACTTCGTTTGCCTAGTTCCAAACATTAAATATATTTTTCAGCCTGGCAAACCTCTAGTCTTGTGTAAATCAAGGATTATGAATCACACTATTGTGCTGGCTATTTGCTTATGAATGGAACTTGGCCCTTGGCCCATTTTCAGTGTCTGCTGGCAACTGCTGGGATTTTGTGTTAATTTGTCACTTATCTTTGTTAGTTGCCAAAACACTGATGATTTCTTTAATAAACAATGGAATGTTGCCTTCAGTTTTGGGAGCAAAATGCTCTTCTGCTAATTCAGAAAAGCCAGTGCTCTGAGGAGGTTGTCTTGGAATTTCTTTGTGTCTCTAAACTGTGTATTTAGTTTTGATGTTTAAACTGTTTTGCCTTTTGACTTCAGCATTGAAGGGAAATGATCAAATTTCGATGAGCCCAATTAATTTAAATTGCAACTAATTCTAAGTGGTCTTTTGTATTTGCTTTGACTGCAAGGATACCAGTGGCCTGTCCTCTGAAAGAGTTAAAATGTTTGTTTAATTTACTTATTAGCTGAAGAAGTACTCTTGTGTCTGAGAAAGCCCCTAGTATGTTGTTGGTACTTAACAAATATTTAATAATAATATCCTAAATACATATGGTAATCTGAGCAGCAATCTTTCCCCTAATTCTACCACAACAAGAAAATATAGTCCTGCAAAAGCAGGATTTTTTTAAACAAAAATTTGTCAATTGAATACAAAAAATTGGCTTTTATTTAAAAAAATGTTCTCTGTTCAGTTAAAACCAAAGTGAGAAGACTTTTTGATCAGGCAACGTTCAGGAATGCAGACTTCATGGACACAAAATATCATCTGGAGGCCAGTCCAGGATTAGAATACCCATCCTGTTCATGCTACAAGGGAAAAAGAGGTGGATTTGCTTGAAGTCCATCTATGTAAATACCGTTCATACACTCAGATTATGAAAGAGGTTCTTTTAACTCTCAAAAACTGTAGAGGTGTTAGCAAACGGACATCATGTCAGACTTGGGTTCTGGTGGAGTTTCCGTTCTGGGCCTTCTGCTCTCTGATATTTGTTTTAAATTTGACACCATTAAAGTCCAAAGAGCTTACACAGAATCTCTTGTGCAATGTTCCCATAAGTAATAGCATACCCTGCAGTAACTAATTTGTGAAATTACTAGAGGGGGAAGGAGAGGCCACATCAAGGTCTCACTGCTATGGACAGAGATAAGATATTGTTAGATAGTAATGCAAACCACAAAAAAATATAGTGAAGAAATTATGGTTCTCTGCCTGGGCATACGTTGGGTAAAAGTTGTGGAGAGCTGCCTAAGGGTTAGAGGGCTGGACTGGAAGAAAGAACTTCTGCATTCTATTTCCCAGCTTTTGTCACTGGCTTTCTGTGTGACCTTGGACAAGCCAATTCACCTCTCTGATCTCCAACTTCCCGACTTGCAAATTCATAATAAATATTAATCCTTTGCACTTCTATAGTAACCTGCCATTCCAGGATCTCAAAGCACTTTACTGACAGTGATGAATGAACCTCTGTGAAGTATGAATTGCAATTCCCCTTCTGAGGCATGGAGCATCTCGGAGACTTGCTCCAGGGCGCACAGCGAGGAACAGACTCCAGGTCTCCTGATACTTGGTTGCACGGTATAACTGCAGGACCACACTCCCTCTCATGGGGGATAATACGGACCCACTTTACCCAGGCAATTAGTGTTTGTAAAGTGCTATGTCATCTTGGGATGAAAATGCAGAGTTGTTCTATTTGATTATTGAATGTTTGGAGCTGGGAAAACGAGATTTTGGGGGGAAGGAGTAGGTGGACTGGGGTAGACATTCCCCTTCCCCTGACAAGTATATATATATATATATATATATATATATATATATATATATATATAT